TTTGTGTATGTCTGGTCTACCATTAGGGTTTCAAAACATAATATCCAAACTTATAACAAATGTTAATTCATACTATAGATATATTACTAAATACAACTATTTATAATCATATTATAAAATAAAAAAACCTTTAAAAATCTTTAAAAAAAAAAAAGGATAAAATATAAAATCATAAAAAAAATATATATATATATACTAACAATCTTATCTACCTTCTTTATAAAACTCTTTTTTTTTTTTCCTTATTATTAGTTTGATTAAAAGTGCATGGTTCTGTCTTTCTCTCTTTTTTCTAACTATTATATATATTCTCTCTTCGATTATTCTATATATAGGATTAGAGTATGTCTGAATGACGTGTAAAAGCCGATGTAATAGACGTTACTTTGTTAATTTTTATTGTTATTAATTATAAATATATAATTAACTTGAGAATGTAGTAGAAGTAAAGGATTTTTTTTTTCTCTCTCTATCTACAAATTAATAACATTTTACAAATTTTATAATTTGAATTTAAATGATCATAATAGTGAAGATAATCTTAATACAAAACTGGACTATAAAATTAAATAACTATTTATTATTATATATATATATATATATAAAGAGACAAAGGTCGCCTCTCCCGTCAAAACTAGACGCCATCTATTGACCGTCGCCGCAAACTAGCGGCCTCGGGTCGGTGACAAAGCCACAACACCAGCTTTGGAAAACTGAAAAGCGTCCACCTAGAGACCATGGTTTCGAGCTAATGGCCCTCGTCAGCCTAGGGCGGACTTTATTCCATGAGATACACACAGGACAAAGATTTGGCCCAGCCACTTTGCCAGCTAAACACCTCTTTGGCAGATTGTCAAGATTCCATTAGATCCCGTGTGGATCTCATGAAAGAAAGTCCGCCCTAGGCTGACGAGGGCCATTAGCCCGAAATCATGGTCTCTAGGTGGACGCTTTTCAGTTTTCCAAAGCTGGTGTTGTGGCTTTGTCACCGACCCGAGGTCGCTAGTTTTCGGCGACGGTCAATAGATGGCGTCTAGTTTTGACGTCTATTTTGACGGGAGAGGCTACCTTTGTTTCTCTAGATCTATATCCTCCCGGCAAAATTTCCATCTATATATAAATATTTATGAAAAACAATAGAAAAAAATATATAAGTGGGTCAGGTGTTGATATTAAAAATAAAAAAGGCATCTCCTGACCACGAGCACATGTGCTTTTTAGATGGCAGAGCGCCATCTAGTAGAGCAAAAATAAACTAAACGTTTATTTAGCTTGCTCCGTGATATTTGGCCAACCCAATTTCTTGATTTATCAAGAAAAGCCATCCACGAACGCGTTTCGCGCTGTTGGCGCTCGTCAGCGTGGGGACCAAAGATTTTTGGTCCCAATGGCTTCTTGAAAAATCAGAAAATGGGTATTGTGTATTAAACACATGTGCTCGTGGTCAGGAGGTGCCTTTTTATTTTTAATATCAACACCTGACCCACTTTTATTTTTTTCTATTGTTTTTTTCATGTGTTAAGCGTCTTTACGCAAATTTGGCCTTAAATACCCATTTTCTGATTTCTCAAGAAGCCATTGGGACCAAAAATCTTTTTTGGTCGCAGTGGTTACAGCCTTCTCTACGCTGACGAGCGCCAACAGCGCGAAACGCGTTCGTGGATGGCTTTTCTTGATAAATCAAGAAATTGGGTTGGCCAAATATCACGGAGCAAGCTAAATAAACGTTTAGTTTATTTTTGCTCCACTAGATGGCGCTCTTCCATCTAAAAAGCATATGTGCTCGTGGTCAGGAGATGCCTTTTTTATTTTTAATAAATATTTATATATTCATCAATATATAATTTTATTTATTCATATATATATTTAACCTTATATAATCTTATATGGACATGTAATAAAGGAGTTTCAATCTCTCTCTCTCTCTCTTCAAGTAAAATCCAAAATAAACAGTGTTTATCCTATTTCTAACTTTTATTTCTTCTTCGATCTAAATGTATGTTTCTATATTTGTATATACAGATACACTTGTATAATAATTGATCCTTTTGTCTTAGCTCTTGAATTGGTTATTTTGCTGTTCTCTCTCGATATTATCTTTTTGAGGGTATACCCGAGGCAGAAAGATGTCGATAAACAAGAAAGTACTAGAGTGGTTCTGTGAGGGAAAGGTTGTTGACAATGGGGCTGTGGTACAAGAATGCACAGAGAGGAAATAGTCCCTGGACAGAAGTGACAGCGGATCAGCTTACATCTCAGTGTCAGAAGCGCGTTTCCTGGTCGTTATCTCGTAGAAGTGTCCTGAAGCTTTTCCCTTGCTTAGAGTAGACTGTAAGCAATGGGATCCTTCGTAACATTAGCAGAGACATAGAAGTCGTAGGGATTTGTCTAATATTGCAGATTGAAAATTTTTCAGAAGATGAAAGCTCATTGAAAGCTGGTTCAAGACAGCTCGACGACAGAGTTTGGAGGAATATCTCTCTGCGCTTATTTAAGTATTCTATAGAGGATTGTTTGTTAATAAAACCGAAACTTTAGCTGCATTCCTATATGAATTTACGTATAATTATTTGAATCGACATTTGATCCAGAGAATATTATAAGTACAGCTTGAATTGGATAAATTGGCATTCTATAAGGCAAAATTACTTTAGAAAAATAATTCGCTTTTTTCATTCTATAGCCATATTCATGTAAAATGTAAATGTATATGTGGGTGCAGTGTAGTGATGAACAATAATCGAGATGCGATCAATAGATGGCGTCAGATTTTTGACGTTTATTTTGACGGGAGAGGCGCCCTATGCTTCTATGAATAATCGAGAATTCGAATATCGAGCGGCAAATATCTTTGGTCTGCGCGCCGGAAGAAGTCCCAAAGAGATGGTGGAATTTCTTAATTCGCCCAAAACCACTGTTTATCGTTTCAAGAAGTAGTTTGATCAGGCCGACAGTAAAAAAGAGGGAATGGCTGAAAGGAAAAATCACTCGCGTCGATTCGACAGAGTAAGAGGCAAAGAATTTGTCAAAAATATCATAGAGAAGATTGATGAAAACCCTGGGAAAAGCATGAAGGCCATATCGAAGGAAATGGACGTTGGCTCTATGAAAAATGCCAGAACTATCTATGAGAACCTTGGTCTCTCAATTCCTTTGCCTTTTGAAAAAAAGGACTGTTGCTAACTCAGAATAAGAAGGATAACAAATAAGAAATGGCTGCTGCCTTCCTCAACAACCTGGAGTAAAAGAACTTGACGTAGACCAAAAGGTAAATCCCAGAAATGATCGCTGAATCTGTAAAGACTCCTCAGAGGTACCTGTCATGATGGACACGAAATTTCCTGCCTCCATGATGGTCCATGGCGTTCGGCGTAAGGTGATCTCATGCCTCTTCATTTCTTTGAGAAGGGCCTTAGGATGAACGCTGACACCTACATCAATGTCCTGGAGACCGTTGTGGAGCCGTTGATGGATATGGCCGCAGTAAGGAAGCATGTCTTCTAACAGGACTCAACTTCAGCCTACAAGGCAAAAAAGACACAATAGTGGCTGACACTTAAGATCCCAGGTCACTGGAGGCTCCCTAACTCTCCAGACTGCAAACCCCCCCCCCCCCCCCCCCCCCCCCAACTACTATGTATGGGGCGTGGTTGAGAGAGATGTCAACAAAGTCTAGTCTGCTGAAAATGTGGTTCACACGGTGATGACCCAAATGGACAAGGTCATCGTCGCCGAGGACTGTGCTTCATCCCACATTCGCCTCGAGACTGTTGTAGATAATGATGAAAACACCACATTGAATAAATCAAATCTATATCCTTTTATTTACTACTGTACCAAATTTCATATATTTCCTTAAACACACATTTTTAAATTTTTACTCTCAAAGATTTCGGTTAAAATTCCATCGTGGGGTTATTCCCAATATACTTCCTGTTTATAATATATATGAATGTATATATGTATGTATTCTTTTAAAGTTTTTAAAAAATGGTCTGTAGTATTAATTTTATAAACCTAAAGCGTGTGGTAAAATATTTAAAAGTCTATTTAGAAATCAAAATAATAAAATTCTTCAAACCAAATAAAGTTTATACATACATAAAACAATACATTTGTAAATATTGTAAAAAAAAAAAAACAGAAGACATATGTTTGACCATAAAACGTTGAAATGTTACTTTGTGGATCGAAATATTGGTTAAAACGTATTTTTATGTCAAATTATGCTAGTTTTATTTTATATCTCCTCTCTCTAAAGCTAATACGCTTTATTAGAACTGATTTTATTATGAATTCTGGTTAACTAAATGTATGATATAATTGTTTATTCTGTACATGATTGGTGTGCCTAGAATGTACAAGAAATTTTATATATTTTAAAAGATAACTAATAAGTAAAATTTATAACCTATTTTGTAAATCTATTTTATGTAATTAAAGTATGTAAATATATTTATTATTGTTCTAGCAATTGCATGCGACTTCTTTGAAATGCGACTTGAAATTGCATGCAACTTCCAAAATTGACCTAATAAAAATTTTTTTCATTTTCTTCAGGTGTCCAACTTATTTTACCCGTTATTCACTGGTCTCCCTATTGTACATGTATATGGGGATCAGTGACTAAGCGGGAAAAATGGGTTGATCTTACTTCACTGAAGAAAATATATAAAAGGAAGAAAATTTCAAGTTGGAACATCTAAAACAATTCCCACATTCTCAGCTGGCATTCCTTGGAGAAGAATAGAAGAAATGGATATGTTCTGTACATGTGAAGTCTGCCTTGATTATTTTAACCTGTTTATATTATGTAATTTTGTTATTAACATATGTAACTAAAGAGGCTCCTCTCCCTATATGTAAATATATGTATTAGTTTCCTAGTAGTTGTTTACAATATCATAAACGAAATTCCCATATAAATTATCTTCACACACAAAAGTTGACTTCAATAAAGTTATTTTTAAAATTAATTTTCATTCAGATTTCCAACTTATTTTACCCGCCTATCACTGGTCTCCTTATTGTACATGTATATGGGGATCAGTGACTAAGCGGGTAAAATGGGTTGATATTGCTTCAATGAAGAAATAATGTCAAAGGAAGAAGACACCAAGTTGGATAACCACAGCCCCAAGTACCACGTTCTCTGCTAACATTTCCTGAAGATGGATCCAAGAGCTGAAGCGGAGAGCCCGTTCTACCTTCCACGTCGAAGATGTCATCCCAACGGTGTAGAGAACACTCCCTTCCCTTATTTATTGATTAGAACATCCTGTAAAATAACGAATGCTTTCAAATAACGTTATTCAATTTAATATGCAATTGTATAATTATACAAGGTTATGGAGACTAAATTCATGGATCAAATTTACAATCTTGGTAGGGTTAGAATACAGGTCCTGTCTTGAGCCTCCCATGCATTCCAAGAGGTGGTCTGGTGAGACCTCATATGTTTTTTTTTTTGCTTATCCCTAGTACACGTGGTACAGGCCATGATAATCATGGTGGGTAGTTAGCGACTGCTTTTTACTGTAAGCGCACCACATGTCTACATATGTAATTATAAAGAGATATTTCTTGAGATATTTCTGTATTTCTTGAGAAAAAGAACACTTCTTAACCCATAAGTATTTTTTCATCAACTTTTCGATATAAATATAATAACAATTTTAAAAGATTTGAATTACGTTTATTTTAATTTTTCTTAAATTACAAGACAGATATATTTTGTCCAAATTTGTAAAAAATATTATTGCTAAAGAGTCCTTTTACTCACTTAATATGCAATGTATAAAAAGTACATTCTCTATTTTACATTTTATTATTACATTAAGGTAATCGTATTTTTATACGCCCCCATATATTTATATATTAAATATAAATTAGTATATTGGCTTATACTCGCTTGTTGTCTGGTAGATTAGATTGTCTGCTTGCCCATGGAAGATAATTCGGTTTGAATGCGTAATATATCAATTTGGACATTATTAAAGAGCTAATTAATAGCTGCACCTCAATTACCAATCAAAGGTTATTGAGGGAGATAAATAGCCTAGCACACGTATCATTTGAGACCTTTCTGACAAACGGCCATTTTGCTTAAATTACAGCAGGTCGACCTCTTCCGTCTAAATTATACTTCGAAAAATATTTTACTTTTTGTTTGAACAGACTCTCTCTCGGCCACGCGGTGAGGGGGAGGGGGTGCAGGGTAAACCGTCTCATCCCGAGGCACGGCCATTTGGCAGGCGGTAGATGGCTGCCGCTATCTGGTCGCCGGAGATGTCGGCGAGAAAAAGCTGGTCCCACTCGTAAAACTCCAGGGGAGTCACTTAAGCTAGGAAGTCAGTGATGGCTTCTTCCGAGCTTGGAGCCTGAGCGAAGCGACTGCTTAAGCGTTCTCGAAGGAAGCGCCTACCTGGCCCCCGGAGATGGCGTTGCCGTCGTCGTCGGTGAAGGTGGAGGGAGAGCGACGTCTGGCTCGGAGGGAACGCCCGAGGTCCGACAAGGAAGGATAGTCGGAGCGGGCAGTGTCATCCTCCAGTCTCCGCCTCAGGAAGAGGCTTGCTCTCTCGGTGTATCCACCGCCGGACTCGGCGACGTCATGCGCGAGTGATCTTATTTCCGCAACCAGATTTGCCTTAATCCTGGTCCATTGTTACCATAACATCGGAGGTGAAAGATTTGCCAGGTTTTCCAACATTTCATCGATGAACGTTTCCATTCGATCGACGAACATGCCTGACCGTAGCAGCTTGCCGATGCAGGGAAGTATTGTAGGAACTGGTTCTCCCACTTGGATCAGGACGACACGGTGTTCCGAGAAGGCGTAGTCGATGGTTTGGTATTAGGTGACGCGGTCGCAGAAGCCTGATGGAAGTAGGATTTTGACCAGACGACGCGCGTCGACCCGGCTTCCGATAGTAGCAACCTTGGTGTGCTCCAGTGCAACATCGAAGAGGGTGGCGACGTCGCCGAGGTTTGCCCCAGAGAGAAAAGGCATGCCTCAGAACAAACCGGTGGCTGTAAAATCGTGAAAATATTGGTTGAAAACAGTTTTTTTCCAAGATCCAACGCATGTACGACTTTTTTTATTTAATTCAAGGTGCAAAACCTCTCTCTATATAATGCCAAAATACTTCACTAGATTTGCCTTTAATATAAATTTCGATGATAAAATTATGAGTAAACTTTTTTAAATCGATGCATCAAAATATCAGGAAACTATATAAACTTTATTTAATGTTGTAACACAAACTATGTAAATAATTTTTATTTAAATATTCAAATTAGTTTATCAATATCTTGGCAGTTGTATATATAATCGTAGAATTAAAGATAAAATTCTCATCTAAAACTAACTTCGAATTAAAATCAATTCACATGAAATTCTCTTCAGGTTCGACTTGTTTCCCTCGTTTTTCATTGGTCACTTTATTGTAGTTTATATGGGGATCAATGACTGAGTAGAAACAATGTTTTTTTTTTTGTTTTTTTTTATTTGACATATCGGACGCGATATCCCAGCTTGGGATACTTGCGCCTAAATACATTTTAGCAACTTATATACAATTCATTATATATACAATTCAATAACAAGACTAAAAACAAAATTAAAAATGAAAGGATGATTTTTCTCAAACAGAAAATAAAATCTGAAATGAATTTTCAAAAATTATTGAATATTACATAGGTGTATTTTATACACAAATTCGCACATTTCTTCGATGGGATAAAAATGATTGCTTCTGTAGCTGTGAAATATCGGACATTCTATTGATAAATGAATTGAGTTTTGGTTTTCTTTTCCACAGAAACAGCTAGGATCATCCGTTGCCCCGATTTTTGCTAGATATTCTCCAAAATTAGCATGATTTGTGATAAACTGTGAGTTATCAAAATTTGGACGAAAATAAAAAGGAATTCCACATGGGGAAATTCCGGAACGTTTCATTAGTGTTCGCTATAGTTTCAGCCATTCTTGATTCTATGAAGTTTTGAATTATAGTTGGGGCATGCGGTGTAGAGAGAGAGAGATAAATTAATTTCTTCTTTTGATAAATTGGCAAATTCTTATTTTATTATCAACGATTCTATGTGATCTGTGAGAATAGATATTTTTACCAAACTATGAATGCAATTTGATGAGGTCATTTTATAAGCACTCACTACTCAAGGAATAATCTGATATTGTTGAGAGTTTAATATTTGCTTACTTCTTTTATTAATAAATTTATACCATATTTCAGATCCCTAGGGTATGACAAATACAAAGAATAAAATAAATCAACAATTAAGTTGCTATTTATTTCGAGAAATGGAATCTATATGGATCATGGGCGTTTGGAGGTAAGAATTTTCTTAATTGAACAAAACTGAAGATTAATCTTGAAAGAATGTCAAAGTAGAAAATATCAACATTGCATCCTTGGCTGGTACATACAGTTTCAGGAGTTTGATCTAACCCGAACTACTTCTACTTGGATGATGTTTTTTTAATTATGAAGAGAACTTTCCCATCATTTTCAATAAAATCACATGTAAAAAATAAATTCCACTAGAATAGACCTTCTAGGAAGGGGATTAGTGCTATTCAATTTAAAATTTCCTATTTTAAAGATAGAGTTTGCTTGTTCCTCAATAAAGATTTCTTGAAAAAAAGCGGAAATTTCGCCAGAAGTTTTATTCGATTGAAGTTTTACCAAAATTCGTTGATATGATTACTTATAAAAGCTTTGTTCCATTTTTATTTCCATTTTTATCTAAGTAGAACACAATATTCATGTTAAATTCTGGATTATAAAATAAACTGGATCACGTGTCTTTTTTCACTTGTAATATATAATGAATATAATGTGCGTTCTGTTTTTCTATCATTAGTTTCATCTTTGAATAATTTTATTTTTAAATTGCATATATATACAAATGTAGTTATAGTTGTTGTATGTTTTTGGTGCTTAGATTGGTTATGTGGCTAGTTGCCTCTCTCGAATAAGTGAGATTAGACGAATGAACTAGATTTCTATTTCATTTCTCTGAATTTGGACATTTTCGATGGACTAATTGATTATTGTATTTGACTAAATGTTCTGAAGTGATCGATCCAGAAGAAGAACAGATATACAGCAACTCTCAAAGATACAATCAGATAAACGAGCATTTAGTTGATAATCGAAATTGGTTTTCTCTTCGAAACCTGTACACAATTTGATCTCAATTACTCCTAATCCGAAAAATCAGCTTATATTAGGAAAAAACCATTAAAATCTCATTTCTATAATTTAAATTATGTAAATACAGAATTATGTATATACATCTGTATTATTTAGTTATTTTATTTATCTTTTTTGTATCCAAAATTATATCCGCTGTTTCTTTTTCACTTCTAATTGAGATCAGAATAATTTTAATATCATTTTTATCACCATTATGATCTATAAACCTCTCACTACATAAACTTATCTTTCTACTGGATGGTCAGACGTGCTTATAGCTTGATTAGCATTTTTCCTAATGCAGTGTTCCGAGTTGTAATAGAGGTTAGTCTATAGGAAGACAACGAGAAAGACAACGATTGTGAATATATGTTGTGTGCACGACCACTTCTTATATATAATACTTTATGGAAATACGAAACTATTATAGACGCGTATGATTCTTTTTAATTTTAAATAATTTCTACTGTCCTTACTTCAATGAAAAAATTAATGGAAGGGCCTGGCTCATCAGTAGTCTGTATTTACATAATTATAATTATAGAAATAAGATAAGAATGATTTTTTCCTAATATAAGCCGATTTTTCGAATGAGGAGGAATTGAAATCAAATTGGGTACAGATTTCAAAGAGAAAACCAATTTCAATTATCAACTAAATGCTCGTTTATCTGATGAACCAGGCCCTCCCATTAATTTTTCCATTGCAGTAAGGACAGTAGAAATTGTTTAATTTTTAAAAGAATCATATGTGCCTATAATAGTTTCGAATTTTCATAACAGATGGCGCGCTAATGAATCATAATACTTTATATTAAAATCCAAATTAACCATAACTACCAAAAG